CCCCCCCGGGTGTCCCCGGTGACCCCAAGTGGTGGCGTCGCTGTGACAGCGACAGCGGCAAAGCCACAACTGGGACACGGCCCCGGGCAGGAAACGTGACCCAGCGCCGCACTGGGGGAACCAGTATGGCCCAGTATGGCCCAGCACAGCACTGGGGGGGTCCCAGTATGGCTCAGTATGGCTCTGCCACGGCACTGGGACAGAACCAGTATGGCCCAGGATGGTCCAGTATGGCCCTGTACAGCTCTGCCATGGCACTGGGGGGAACCAGTATGGCCCAGTATGGCCCCGGCACTGCACTGCGGGGAACCACTATGGCCCACTATGGCTCTGCCATGGCACTGGTGGAAACCAGTATGGCCCAGCATGGCCCAGCACAGCCCTGGCATGGCACTGGGAGGGAACCATTATGGCCCAGTATGGCCCAGTACGGCACTGGGAGGGAACCAATATAGCCCAGCATGGCCCACCACGGCAATGGGAGGTTCCCAGTATGGCCCAGCATGGCCCAGAACAGCCCCAATATGGTACTGGGGTGGCACCTGTGTGGCCCTGGCACAGCCCAGCCCTGACACACCCAGGGATGCTCGTGCCCAGTGTGACACACCCAGGGATGCTCGTGCCCAGTGTGACACACCCAGGGATGCTCGTGCCCGCCCTGACACACCCAGGGATGCTCGTGCCCGCTGTGGATGCTCGTGCCCAGTGTGACACACCCAGGGATGCTCGTGCCCAGTGTGACACACCCAGGGATGCTCGTGCCCAGTGTGACACACCCAGGGATGCTCGTGCCCGCTGTGGATGCTCGTGCCCGCTGTGACACACCCAGGGATGCTCGTGCCCGCTGTGGATGCTCGTGCCCGCCCTGGCACACCCAAGGATGCTCGTGCCCGCTCCTGCCCGCTCCCCCGTGCCCTCTCCCCCCCGTGCCCTCTCTGCCCCACTCGTGCCCGCCTGGCCGCACACGCTCGTGACCCTCCCGTACCCACCCGTGCCCCCCTCACCCCTCTTCTTCCTCCTCCTCCTCCTCCTCCTCCCGCGCCCGAATTCGCTTCGTCGGCGTTTTCCACCCGCCCCAGTTTTTTTGGGGCCGGCGCCGCCCGCGCATCCGGCCCCGGGGAGGGGGGTTTGAGGGGGGGCCCCGGGACCCCCGTGGGACCCACCCTGAGAATTTGGGGGGAGCTGAGTCAGCCCCGCGTCCCGAATTACTCACCCGGTGCCGGGAAGAGCCGCGGCGGGGCCGCTCCTGCCGGGAACCGGCGGCGGGCGGAGGTCGCCGAGGTCCCGGGGGCACCGGGGGCACCTTCGGGGGCACCCTCGGCACCTCCGGGGGGCACCTGGGACCTGCCAGTCCCACCCACCGACCGCACCGGGGGGCACCGGGGGGCTGCCCGTACAGTGGGGACCTGCCAGTCCTCCTGGCACCCACCGAAATTTGAGGGCACTGGAGGCACCGGGGGCACAGGGGGGGCTACCGGTAGCGTGGGGACCTGCCAGTCTCAGCCCCCGACCGCATCGGGGGGCACCGGGGGCACCCCAACTGCACCTGGGGCACCGGGGGGCACTGGGAGCACTGGGGGATGCTGGGAACGTGAGGTCCTGCCAGTCCTCCTGGCACCCACCGCAATTTGGGGGCACTGGGGGCACCGGGGCCACCCTCGGCACCTCCGGGGGGCACCGGGGGACCTGCCAGTCCCACCCGCCGACCGCACCGGGGGGCACCGGGGGCACCGAGGGGCCGCCGGTAGCGCGGGGACCTGCCAGTCCTCCTGGCACCCACCCACCGCAACTGGGGGGCACCGGGGGCACCGGGGGGTGCTGGAAACGTGGGCTCCTGCCAGTCCCACCTGCGCCCACCGCAACTGGGGGCATAGGGGGTACCTCAACTGCATCTGGGGCACCGGAGGGGGCACCGGGGGGCTGCCGGTAGCGTGGGGACCTGCCAGTCCTCTCGGCACCCACCCACCGCAACTGGGGGGCACTGGGGGCACCGAGGGTACCCTCGGCACCTCCAGGACCTGCCAGTCCCACCCACCGACCGCACCGGGGGGCACCGGGGGGCTGCCGGTAGTGTGGGGACCTGTCAGTCCTCTTGGCACCCACCCACCGCAACTGGGGGGCACCGGGGGCACCGGGGGGTGCTGGAAACGTGGGCTCCTGCCAGTCCCACCTGCGCCCACCGCAACTGGGGGCACCGGGGGCACCCCAGCTGCATCTGGGGCACCGGGAGGGGCACCGGGGGCACCGGGGGGGCTGCCGGTAGCGTGGGAACCTGCCAGTCCTCCTGGCACCCACCCACCGCAACTGGGGGGCACTGAGAGCACCGGGGGCACCCTCGGCACCTCCGGTGGGCACCTTGGGGCACGGGGGGGCTGCCAGTCTCACCCGCATCCAACGACAGCACCGGGGGGCACCGGGGGCACCCTCGGCACTCCGGGGGGCACCTCGGGGCACGGGGGACCTGCCAGTCGCACCCACCGACCGCACCGGGGGGCACCGGGGGCACCCCAACTGCTTCTGGGGCACCGGGGGGCACTGGGAGCACCGGGGGATACTGGGAGCGTGGGCGGCGCCCACCGCAACTGGGGGGCACCGGGAGGCACTGGGAGCACTGGGGGATACTGGGAGCGTGGGCACCTGCCAGCCCCACCCGCATCCACTGTAACTGGGGGCACTGGGAGCACCGGGGGGCACTGGGGGATACTGGGAGCGTGGGCACCTGTCAGTCCCATCCACACCCACCGCAGCTGGGGGCACTGGGAGCACTGGGGGATACTGGGAGCGTGGGCATCTGCCAGCCCCACCCGTACCCACCGCAACTGGGGGCACTGGAGGCACTGGGGGGCTGACAGGGCACCCGCTAGTACCACCAGTGCTACCAGTGCCACCAGTGCCACCAGCACCCAGCAGTGCTACCAGTGTCACCAGTGCCACCAGCACCCAGCAGCCCCAGGGGCACCCGCCAGTGCCGCCAGTGCCACCAGTACCACCAGTACCACCAGTGCCACCAGTGCCACCAGTACCACCAGTGCCACCAGCAGCCACCAGTCCCGGGGGCACCCACCAGTGCCACCAGTACCACCAGTACCACCAGTGTCACCAGCCCCGGGGGCACCCACCAGTGCCACCAGTACCACCAGTGCCACCAGTGCCACCAGTACCCACCAGTGCCACCAGTGCCATCAGTGCTACCAGTGCCACCAGCACCCACCAGCCCCGGGGGCACCCGCCAGTACCGCCAGTGCCACCAGTGCTACCAGCAGCCACCAGCCCCGGGGGCACCGACCAGTACCACCAGTGCCACCAGTACCACCAGTACTACCAGTGCCACCAGCACCCACCAGTGCCACCAGTGCCATCAGCCCCACAGGGGGGACACAGGGGACACACGGGGGGGGACACAGGTGACACGGGGGGGGACCCCCAGCCCCCCGGGGTGCCCCCCGCCCCCCCCCCCCCCCCCGGCACAAAGGGGGGGGGGGGGGGGGAGCCGGGGCCACCTGCGCGTCCCCCCCCGTGTCGCCGCCGGTGCCACCCGCCGTGTCCCGCCCTCCGTGTCACCCCCCGTGTCCCCCCCCCCCGCCGCCACATCAAAGGGGTGCCGCAGGTGCGCGGGGGGGACCCGCGACCCCCCAAAAGTGGGGGCGGGGCCGGCGCAGGTGCGGGACGGAGGGGGAGGAACCGGGGGGGACCCGCGACACGGGTGTGACCCCCCCAAAACACGTGTGGGACCCGCGACATGGGTGTGACCCCCCC